GGGGGGGGGTAGGTGAGCGCGGGACTACCAGAGAGAAATGAATCAAGTGCGACTTCAACCGCGAGTGATGCATCCTTGAATCGCGTGACTGTCTCCTTTTTTGGGCCAAGAAATTGGTGCTACATCCACCACTACAAATACCGTTAACTGGCGGTGAATGTGTTTTATTTTCTCCCCTTCTTAGCAAGGGGTAGAGAGGGACGAGAGACGGCGCAGTCGGGTGTCGAAGCAGCACGGGCTTAACTGCCTGTACGGAATTTCTCCGCACATTCTTCCGGTGGAGGGTTTTGTTGGCAAAACTAATCATTTGGTTAAGACAAGTTGCACATAGTCTGTTAAATTGAGAGCTACAAATCTTGGCATTTTAAAATGGATGAAAAAGTATAATGTCAAAGAGAAGAGGGTAAAAATGACATCTGAAAGCCAAGTATAACCCCTAATTTGGCATACAGACAACCTATTCATCGCTAGTGGCAGGTCGTGATTTTGAAGGACCTTTTTCCATCCAAAATGGATGAAACCAACTTTCTTTTACTCAAACGAACTGCTCAAGAGAATTTCCTGTCAACCTGTTTTCCTCCTACTATTCCCACATTTCCTCCTCCTAGCTGGGTAACCAAAAACTCTAATTCAGTAGGTTTCGAAAAAACGAAGCACAGTTTGGCGCTCACGAAACCCATCAAAGTGATACAGTCAGTTTGGTGGTCTGGATGGGAGCCTGACCAATCTGTCATTAAGAACCTCTAACTAAACAAATTTCACACTATTTTACAAGCACTTCGGCGGCTGATTGACAATCTTTCGTTTTGACGTTTTGTGACATTTTTTAGAGGTGTGTGTTGCTTCCCTCTGGTAACAGATAGAGTGCTGTTTCATAAGCAACCTCACTTTGCACGTCAAGGATGGAAGCGATGCATCGATTTGCCCGTCGAAACTGTTTTTTGCTCACCTTCACAGGCGATTAGGACATTTTGATGAAAATGTCATTCCCATAGGCACTTATCTTCAAATGTCCAGCCTTGTACATTTCCTCTTTGGCCGCGTTCCATGGAACGCATGTTGTAGTGTGCTACAGCAAAATAAAATTCGAAAAAATTATTCTCACAGCTTTAAAGAAAACTTTTTAATTAGCTAAGGGTGTTCTGATTACCCGCCTTTACATCCTTGCATTCTTGACCGGAAAACTGACAGATCTTAATAATGCGGAGGTTGTATCACCCAAAGGATGCCTCTAATTTCAAGCTCTATTCATGTATAAATACATTAGATCATTTTATAGTAGCCTCTCCAAAGACAAATGAGACCTACGACCAGAGTGGAAAGGTCCGGCGGATACTGATTTGGCTCAGCACACCTGCGATACACTTTTGAGGCGCGTCACAAAAACCAAGACTTAAACAAAACTTTAAAGTCTGAAAGTACTTATGGGTACACGAAATAACAATGTGTCAGTAGGCGAGTTGATGATATCGAAATAACGTCGACTGCTTCTAGGGTCTTCGTAAAAGCAAAAGGTAAGCGCGATGCGATTGATCAAGGGTGCGCAGGAGGTGAAATGCATAGACCTGACCAATTTTAACTCAAGACAGCGGTAAATAAACTGCAAAATGTGCTCAGCGGATGGAAAAAGTGTATAACCTCGCCCTGAAACACGGGAGTGTCGTATAACTACTGAGTGTACGAGCTCACCATCAATTGGATGTCTTCCGACCAATGAGAAAGTAGGGACGGGTAATTGCTCACACCATCGCAGAGACATCATTATGAATAATATTCTCACAACTCTCAGAAGCACCTTGCACAAATGACGCCTTTTACCCCATGGATTCTTATTTTCCTCATACTACCAGCTCCTGGTACGTTTGCATGCTATAATGGGGAGTGGAGGTAAAATACTTCCGATTTCTGTTTGTTCCATCATTTTTCAAAGCATCGCTTAGCGCTTCGCAAAATTTTAACCTTATTTACAATTTTAACCATAGTACGGCATTCATGGTAGCAAATTTGTGCCTTAAAAGAAGTTAATTGAGAAAATAGCACTTACAATTGACCCTGAAAGATATAGGTGTGCTTTTAGAGTACCCAATAATTAGATGGTGAATATAGAGGCAAGATTTAAATGACAAAGATTGATTTCATGCGTTCATATTGAAGTTGTGCAACTTTTGCTACTTTTTTGACAATCCTTTCTTGAGTCACAAGAATAGGCTGCATGAGAAAGTAATTCCCAACTTCGCTTGCCTTGTATTCGGTCAAGGTTTGAAGATAGGCTACTTGATTCCAAATAAGTTGCACTATGTAGCCGCCGGATGTCAAATTCCACCTATGATTTGCCCTAGTCCAATCGGGTGAAAGTACACTAGCTTGTTGTAATGCCGTGATGAAGTGAAAATATTAAATTTTGCGTGAATGCAACTGCTACTCAAGATCAAATATTTTGAAGTTCACTCAAACGAATGAAAACATTGCTACACTGAAGTCCATATTTTGTCGCCCTTCTCAAAGTCTATAAAATGCCTGCCAAACAAGTGCTCCAACAAAACTACTTCGACTAGGCATCCGACGACAAATTTGTTTTGCTGGTGTTTTGCAGGCCGTGCTATTTTTTCTTTGCTTAATTAGGAGCAAGACCGTAGCAACCGACTTACCTTATGGCAATGAAAAAATAGTAACGATTCCCCAAAGATAATACTATCGCAATGTTAATCAAATGAAATTGCGTGGTAAGGAATTTGGCAAAAAATGCGCCCCATTTTAATATCTAATTTTTGCCCAATCAGGAGAGAACAAAACAAAACGATCAAAAATTAGTGTTGAGATAGCACAAGGATGAATCTTTTAAAGATAAAGCAGTAAAACAAGTCAAAAGTAATAATGTCTCAATCATACTGGAAAATAATTAGGCATTTAATAAAAGGTATGTTATTTTACTACTTCCCTTTGGCATTTTAGGATTGATGTGGACGGCTGCTAGTGAACGAATTCACAATGTGGTCAACGGCTCCCGCGTGGAACTGCCTTGTGATTTAGACGTATCCTTCACTAAAGCGGTACGTAAATTGACCTATGCAATTCGATTTAGGCGTTTAGGTTTTCTTTAATGCGCAGTTTTTGAGAACCTCGAAGAAAAGGATGTTTTCAAGGAGCCCCCTCCTTTATAGCAGGAGAGAGCAGACATTAGTTCTCTCCTTTCATTTAAAGAAAGCATTTTCCTAAACAATGAGAATACATTAAGCAGCAGAGATGGATTTGCTAAACAATATTTATGTGACATGACAAGTGTCAGTGACATTCAAATGAGCTTTCTGGTATTTGGCTGCAAAGTTAGGGTATCGGAAATGCTTTTGCGCCCCTTCTTTTCTTAAATCGCTTTTTTAATTTAAGCAAGTTCAAAACATTATTAAAATAAAGCGTTCTAAGTAATCTAAAACGTCTCGCGCTTTCGTTTCTATAATACTTTTACGCCTTCTCTATTTATACATTGTCTTACCTCAGCATATGTATAACAATTTGATTCTCCTCGTATTCGTCACTGGAATAAAAGGCATCTATAGAGCCAGTTTTATAGATTAGGAATTGTGATTAAAATTCCGATTGGTGATTAAGTGGATCGGTTCACGATTTGACTCCACACTAACCAACTGCACTCTATTTGCTTGTTACAAGCTAACATGGTTTAAATTTATTCCGTGAATCTGGGATAATCACTTGAACTGCCACAAAACAAATCCGATTTGTGTTAAAAGGTTCACCAGTAGCATCCTGAGGTTTCCCAATGGGTAGAAGAATGTATTGAGTTGGGCTGATTACATGTATACCAGTAGGATAAGGAGAGATTGAGTTTTGGCTTGGCCCGAAAGCCAGCCCACGCTTACAAGGGTCAGACGAATACCGAAGTAACCGCCAGACATCAGATAGCTACATTACTAAAGTATTGCATCGACCTCAGCTTAAAATGTTTTACATTTGGTCGTAATTCGTGAATTACATGATGGCAAATCCTGATTGCAATGTAGTTCCTAGGCTTAGCATCCAACGCTTTGGCCTAAGTACACCTGCGGAGTGATCACAATTTGAAATTTTACGCTCTCCTTCACGTGGCTGAATGTGACTAACATTTAGTGCGATTTTGTCTTGACTACCTTTGACATGGCTTTAAGGTGAATAAAGATTAACATTTATACCCAAGCTGATGGCGTGACTACCCGTGACAAAGCTTCCTCCAACAACCTCGTTTTTCGTTGCTGCTTCCTCTGACAGTGGATTGCCTTCTTAAATTTGTCGGAGATAATATTGACAGAGACAGCTGAAACTCAGGCCCTCACAGTATTTATTGTCCCCAAGAAAATATTTAACTGAGCAGATTTTTTCTCCTTTGGAAAGAACTCCAAGGAGAGAGAGAAGGCGAGAGAGAGAGAGAGAGAAAAAGAGGAAGAGAGACGGTGTAGGTTTGTCGACTTACTTCTTCCATTTTGCCTATTCAAAATAACCCCGCCCCGAACCAGATGTGACAAGGTTTCACGTCTGTAGCCCCTCTCAAGGCGCCTGGTTTTTGTCTTCGAGGCGGTGTTAAAAGAACATCACGCAATCTAGTATGACGCCAGGTTGGAAATAAATTCGTATCAACATTTGACACCATAATGCAGGTACTGTAAATCCTGCTAAAAATTCACGGCTTTCTTTGCACCCCGAAATGGCAACAGCAATTAAATTTTATTGAAGAGGACTTCCACTGCTTTCGTCGATTCCATTTGTTCAGAATTGAGCTGAGCAAAAGTTAACAAAAACCATAGCAATTATGTGGTCTTGTTTTCTCCTCTTTGGAACTAGACATGATAGTTTTAATGGGCTGGAAATGGAGGGAAGGACTTGTGGGCGTAATGGTATTACGGCACCTCATTAATTCATCACGAGCAGTTTTTCGTTGTGCCGGGAGCAATTCTTACTCACCTCCCCACATCGCCACTGTTAAATTCTTTAAGAAGGGTGATGGCGAGCAGTTCGACTCCATCAAGCTTGACTTTCCTATCTGTTAAACGATTTTCCATTGAATTTTGAAGCGTATTTTATGCGTCGGAAGGCCAACAAAATCTCTCTGAGATCGATCCACCAGAGGTGTTAAAGTGGCATCGGACAGATCCGATTACTTTTAATGTTTATAACCGGTAGACGGAGATCTTAAAAAACGATAAAGTTTTGATGGTGGACAATAATTTTAAGTCCCAAAATTACTTGTTTACCAATCAAAATATCATGGTGTTCGTGGTCGGCATGATACTGACCGTTTTAAAAGTGAACTTTTGATATTGCATTGCATTGAAGCCCATTCTTGCCAATGATAATCGAGATTGCACTTTTAGGGGTTTTGGCTCGCCCTTAGCTGGTCCCGCCTTACAACAAAGAGGCGTTAATGCCTCGGCTTTAAGGTGGAACATCAAAATGCCTCCTCGGGCTTAAGAGCCGTTGTTGTACACACAAAGCCAAGTTGGCGCGGTCGTCCACTTGGCTCCCCACGAAAGCTCCAACATCCGCCTCAAACATTACGAGGTCATACGATCATTAAACTTCCCTCTCCATCATTCCATAGGCATTTATCAAAACCTTTTATTTAGTTAGACAAAATACAATTTCAATTGGGTCGTCAGTGCAATAGCAAGGCGAATAAAAAGACCGAGCGTTAATGTGTCTCCACCACGAAGAGTGAAGAGGTTTTCTGCGCTCTCTCCTCCAGTTAATGCGCTGGTAAAAGAGGGTACAGTCGCTCCTTTTTTATTCAGGAATTGGATAAAATGTCGTGGATCAAAGGGCCGCGTCAACTTCTTTCTCTTGGCATGTACAAGATAACTGAGGATGAGAGAATTTCGATCGTACCGCCGGTACGTCTTCTGTTATTGCTTTACTACCCATCCACCTCCTTATCAAATCATCATTTCCTATCAAGTCCTCCGAGTTCTTATAATTAGTCCCAAACATCAACACAGTGCTCTTTCGATTCGGTGTCAAAAATAAGCTGTGCAACGTGGGAAGTTCATTTTAATGATGTTTCGCGAATCTTTTTTTGCCAAAAGACTTGATTTAACAGATTAAAAATAATTTTGGTCTCCGATATGCTACTTGAAGGAGCAGTATTTGCCAAGGGCGTCAAATCGGTTCACGGGAAAATGCATTCAATGTTTCCGGTGCAGTTGGTGTGGTGAGCATTTGTGAAACGCATCAGCTATGCTTTATTTCCGCCTTTGTGCTGATCCCCTTCTCTGGCTGTCCCCTTCCACCCTCCTTCTCATCTCTTTTTTGTACCTAGACCCTGTTAAAAAAGCGAGGTTTCAACCTTTTGATTTATCCGGTCACAACAATGGATAATGGAGTGTATCGTTGCGCCATCGTGATTGGTGGGGAAACATACTTCAAGACATACCGACTAAATGTTCTTTGTAAGTTTTCTCCTTTTTACTACTGGCGTGTGGGTCTAAAGTCTCAAATGGGCAAGTGGTTAGAGTTAGTTTTAATGTCGATGTACGCCAGAGCATGAAGAGTGTAAAATAGCCTGTCATAAACGGAAGCATCTTTCGGTAAAATTACTTCTAGCGTTCATTAAACGTGCAATTCATGCCGGAAAAGGTTTCACTTTGTGCTTTAGTCTGCCGAGATGAAATTGTGCAGAATTGATGCCATGCCAAGTAGAAGTGTTCGCAGCATTTGCTAGCCAACTTTTTGACTTTGAAGTGTCGAATCGAGTAAACAAACCTGCAGCAGCCCGATTAATAGCCACGTTTTATCAACATTACAGAGCAATGGAGTGATAATTTATCGCGATTCTTTATGACACCTTACAATAAGCATCCCTACAAGTCACAACTAGAGAAGGGGATGATGAATGATTCCTGCTAAAACAACCGTGTTCTCTTTCCCCAGTACCTCCCAGGATCACCAAAGCTCCTGGGCCAATACTTAAGGTGGTGGAGGGGGACGCCTTACAAGTTTCCTGCTCCGCTGAGGGCAATCCACCTCCAACAGTGACATGGCTCATGGAGGTGGCCAAAGGAGGCATCCAAATACTGCCGTTGCGCTTCAACAAAGACGGCTTCGAGTTTGCACGCGACGTCCTCAAGGGTCTGAGCGCAGGTAAACAGCATATCTGCTTCTTATCGCACCAAAACACGGCTCAGACTTGTCCCCTGGGACACTGGTCACATAAGAGTGATGAACGTTTTTTGACAATATTTACAACCTATTGATGCGGTAAACAAATAAAAAGGAAATTTTATTTGCTCTACGACCAAAGTAGCAAATGAGTATTCAGTAATTTGTACACGTTGAGTACCGACCGAAAGAGGATGTTTTACTTTACTTGCCATTAAAGCAGGAAATAATGCCCGTCGATAAATCAAAGGGATTAGCTTCAGTGTTGAGCAGCGCTGAATTCACTGCCTTTAATTTTTTCCTCAAAAGGACGCTCAATGTCGGCCAAGGTGGCTAGGCAAATAGGCTTTGGATGTCATCTGCTCTCCTTTTTTAAGGACAAATGGCCGGAACCTTTGAAGCCATGCGAGGTCAGATAGTCTCACTTCAGACATCTTCCGAAAGTGATCACTATAAAATAGAAAAATCGAGGTCTGAGACAACGCCGCTACGGAGCTAGCACAACTACCTCCGAAAGTATTCTTCAGAAGTTATCAAACAGTCGAATTTTACAACCGTGTGACTAACTTAAAACTTATAGCCTTCCTTCCATTTGCCAATAAGTGCTACCACTCTCACCTCTTAACTGCAAAGGAAGATAACGCTGGAGCAGAAGATTCTACATTTCCAGAAATTCATCCCACAAATGACTAGTTGAGGGGATGGAAGGGAACAAACTTGCACTTCAGTAATAAGATGGAGTCTCAAAAACTTGCGCTGCAACTCGCACAGGCGTATTGCCGAGCATCATGATCGCATTGTAGATTTCGTTGAAATGAACGGCTACCTGCAGATATCGCAGATCAACCGCCAAATGAGTGGAACATTGGCTTGCCAAGCGGTAAATGGAGTTGAACCAAAAGCTACCCGTAAGATGCGACTGGATATACGGTGTAAGTCATATCTCTTCTCAGCCGCCACAAATGACGCATCATCCCCTTATTCGAAGTTAAGATCTTTTGGCAGAAGCAAAACAACAATCTATGGATCAATTAGGTGTACTAAGGATTTTGTAATCCAAGGGGGATGGAACAACTCATTGGGTATAAAAAGGACCACTCTCGGAAGCTAAGCCAATGACTCGACACACAATTCAATCCAACCAGGTCTTGAGGCGGTTACACCAAGCCCTTCGCACTCATCGAAATGGCGCACACGTGCCCTTCGATGGTTTCGTGGTGTAATAAAACTTTAATCAAAGCATTTATTTTTTGCAACAACTTTATGTACGACTTCTGAAGATCTCTATTTATATAAAGTTGTGCCACGGAAGTTGTTTATTTGTAAGCAATCACATTAGAATAAATAACAATATTTATTTCTTGAACTGAACAATCTAATACGACCGGGTGGAAACGTGATAAATTTATTACCTTGCAGCTTAAATGCTTCTGACAGTTTCGTATTAAATTCCTTTGAACGATGGTAATGCAGGTGCATATTTCCTGACGGTCCCACAATACGAAGTGATAAATGAAAGCTAAACATTGTAGCGTCTCGAGACTTCCCACAGAGTGAAAGAAGGCAGTAAGTGGGGCTGGGATACATGTATTCCGAAGAGAACAGAACAAATGGATCTGAGCATGGCCCGAAGGCCAGTTCACGAGTGCAAGAGTCAGACACACCTTAAAGTGACCGCCGAACGTCAGGTAATCACATAACCAAAGCGTTACAAACCTGATCAGAATAATGTTCGCTCCAATGTACTAAAATGTGAAGACAAATAGCCGGTAAACTAATTTTGTTAATTTTAAACTCTTCAGTTCCACCGGAGGTCCACGTTGTGAATTCCCTGATTAAGCAATCTCTAGGTGGTGACACCGTCCTTCAGTGTCAAGTGAACGCAAATCCCATGGGAATTATTGTATGGACCTTCGGGAAAGCTAAGATCCCCATTAACGCCTCTTCTTGCAGCATTCTCACCAACAAGGCTGTCAAGTATTGTGTTGGTGAGTTTACTTAATTACTTCAACCAAGTCTTGAATAAGAATTAGTTTAGTTAATTAACTTTAAATGCGGTCTACCCTGATGCGACCTGGAGGTTGAAGAGTTGGTGCCAAAACTGTACCGCATATGGGTACATAAAATGACCTATGCAGCCCACATGTGACAAAACGAGTGCACTCTTGTCTTGAAGAATCATTTATTTGCCTTTTCTTAAAAATTTTAGCTACAAAATGCCATCTTTGAAGGAAACAAACATTCTAACAAACCATCTAATTCATGAAGCGTTTCCAAGTTTCCTAGATCAGTTACTTTTCTTACCATGCCTCTATTATAGACCATCAACGACAATCACATTGACCTTTTACAGGCGACTTACATCTCTTTTTAAATTAATCTTATGGCACTGTTCGATATCATCCTAGTATTCAAATCATAATAGCTTCCCAAAGCTGACACAACGCCAACAGTCCTCCCAATCTTGATTCGCCATAGAACCTAGTGTCAGCTACAGGTGCCGGTCTTAAGTGATTTTTGAAAGTTCCATTTGATCAGTAAAATTTCGCAGTGTTATTTCTATCGCTTGGGCTCACTCATTGTTTATCAAGCTTGCGGCTGAAGGCGTTATAAAGTAAGATTGAGTCTTAAATTAACTTACTTTCAAATGACGGACGAGATGGGCGAGTTTACTCAAGTGTCATACGCACGTCTTCCTTATGTCATCAGCGGAGAAACTAAACAGCCAAGTTACTTAAATGTGCACTTAAGCAAGCAGTATTCAGCCGACTAATGGTGTCTGAAGCATATTTGCAGGCTGTCAGAAGTGCTCCCATTCCCAAATCGATCTGGCTGGGTAACAATTATTTAATGGACAGCGATCTGGCTGTACTGGGAAGTCACGTGCAGGAGGCACCTTTCCTTCTCCTTCATCCTTTTGCAATCAAAAGTGTGTCCACGAGCTTCGTAGTGCAGTGGCACGACAAAGAGTCGTTTAAAAATGGTCTCTTTTGATTTTAACTCAACAACTTTTCCAAGAGTTATGCTATTTTTCCGCAGTCATGGTAACGCCGACCCAGACCTCCATGTTTAGTAATTAACAACCATTAAAGCTTAAATCTTGCTTGAACTTACGTATACGGATTGCTTTATTGCATAGTAGGCACTAGCTGCCATTTCTTTGGTTTGCCTGGCTAATGTATCCGCTAACTACTGGAAAGAAAGGAACTTAAACTCGCGGATTCAGCTATCTAAAATATGAACAATTATGAAATCCACAAGTTTGCTCCAACGGCTAGCAGAGTCGGGAATACAGCTCCATCCTTCATCCCTACAAATATCCATCGTTTAAACTCCGGTTTGACCGACAAGGAAATTCCCCACTTTTTTCCTAACTTTAGTCGATTCTCGTCAGAAACATGAGGAACGATGGCCATCGATCATATCAAAGCTGCATATCTTAAAATTGACGGAGGACGATTTTGGTGATTATACATGCGGCATGACCACGATGATGGGAAAGCATGCAGCCAGCACAACCCTTGAAAGTAAGTACATCGACTTACTGATCCCACAAGTATCCACAAAGCGCACTTATCAGTACCATATTCCATCAGAGTTGCTAAATGTCATGTGAATGCTAAGCCTCGAGGAGGATTACGTGGTACACCCATGTCCTTATAGTTTTCAACTCCATACAGACTGCATTTTCATGGATTAGCGTCCTACGTTTAATCATGAGAGTCCCTTTTATGCTCTGTGACACACTTTTTTCCTTACTGCAGGATACGTTTCCGAATCTGAACAGTCGATGCGATTGTTTAATGACCGTACGTTGCGTGAATGCACATAAATTGATTGCATGGTGGTGACATTTTAGTCCTTAACCCAAAAAAATGGAGTGGATAGTGCTGGATAAATGAAATCTTTGTACTTGACAAATGACATGAGTTGACTTATCTGACTGGATCCGCCAGAGGATTGTTTAAAATGATCGGACAACCAAAAAGTCGGTGAGGTTTTTGCCACTGTCGAGTGCAGTAACTTCGGTCACAACACAGTCAACGCCGCAGCAATAACACCCACGAACTGTTCCATTATTGGTCTAACAAGCCATTTAAGATAATTTTGAGTGGATAAGTTTGACGTCGATTGCGCCTCACCTATTGGGGTCCACTTCAGCGCTGCTCAATTAGGCACGCCCTATCTCCATCCAACTAGTAGATAAGGTAAGGAGGCGTCCTGTGTTCGCTTTATTAGCATCCCCAAGCAGGTACAGTAGATGGATTTGTAGTGTGACTCGTAAGCATGACTAATACCACTTGGATTGAAGTAATTGCCAAGATTAGACGCCATTTGTAGCCTACTCATTAAAGGTCATTCCGGATTCTATCATCGAAAGCATGCGCCTTTCTTCCACTCCACTAAGGTTCATCATTCTGTAACTGAAACTGAGGTAGATAGCCTCTAAGATGAGATTTGCTTTACTCCGCCAGCAATGCTAACTTCGGAGACTTTTCCCAACGTAAGAAAAGACTGCGGGGATCACTTTGCATAGGTTAGTGAGTACACCTTCCAGTAGAGATTCAAAGGGCATTAAATGCATTTAATACCAAAAATAAGGCTTAGACCAACATTCAAGACATCTCACTGCTGTTGCATTGTTAGTACAAAACCTCAAACAGAAGGTAGTCGGCTAAGCTGGGCATGCCACCATCTCACAATTATTCAAGTTTTAACGCCATAAATACCACATTGAATTATTTAGTCTCCTATTAAGATTGAACTGTTTTAAGACTTAGATCGGGATAGTGCAGCTTTGGGGCCGAATGAATAAATATGGTTTACCTGTTCGCTTCCTTTGACAAATGGAATGTGGGGAGTGCCGCTGTGCTACAACTCATTCATTCATTCATTCCTACTGGGAAATACAACATTCCCACAAAAGCAAATGCATGCGAAATAGGAAAGTAAGTATATAACAGTTTGATTTTTTGCAGCTTTCTTCAATTTGCCTCTTCAGACGACCACTGCAATGTCTGCCCTGGAGTATCACTATAATTTAGGCAGCTCCAAAGACACGGCATACGGCTATTCTCACTTACGGGAGACGAAGAAGCCGCAAATCAGGAAAATCCTGTGTACGTTTTTAATTACCCCTTGCGTGTGAGTAGAAGAGGCTAACTCCCGCCCTATGCCTACGGAATTTCCCACACCTCTCGTTTTTACCACTTCTAGGGCATAAGGTAGGACACTCAAGTTAAACCAGATCTTTTGAGGTTCATAAGAAGCCAATGCACTTTATCGAGACTAACCGACACTTATCCTTTCAAATCGCTTCCTTGCTTCATCTTCACACCCATCCCTCAGCCCATTTTACTTCTCATTGGAGCCTTGGCGATCCAGGAATGTCAACTCTTAAAGGGTGACAATTGCAGAAAGTAAATAATGTAAGGTGTCCTACTTCCTAAGACTTCAAATATGCAGTTTTAATAAACAACAGATTGGCCAAGTGTGCTGTGAGCTCCACGCTCACCGACGAAAACGACAAGTGATCGGTTCGGAAATATTTGCACCGTTCAAATGTCTCACTGCGCAGTGTCTTATCACCGCACCATTGTGCTCTTCCTCATATACTATTTCCAATTCTCAAAGGCAAAAAAGATAGATCAACCTTATTACTAAAAGCAAAGCATTGATTCGTTTATTTTAATATAAGCTGAGCCATGCCATGCTTCCGTTGTTTCAGATGCACATGCAACCTCAATCGCTACACGAACGATGCCTGTGATAAGCACGATACTAACCATACAGTACATCCTGGAAAGATGAACACGCCTCGTAACAATCCCCTCAATCCACTGCCTGTAAAAAAGTTGATTTATCTGAAGGAAAACGTTTGAATAAAATCATTGCTTTCTCACAAATGTTGACTTTGCTACAGCAAGACATTTGCTACTGAAATAGTTTAAGTAAAAAGAAAAGCCTATTAACAAAAAGGGTGGACAAAATTCAAAAAGTAAAATATTGTTGCTAGAAATTTTCGCCCCCTTCAATCAATCACCCCTGACACGGTCAGTCAACAAGGCAACCCTCTCGCATCCCAATCGCACCGCCATGCAGAAGAGCAACCCGGACGGCTTTTAACTACAGCCGATGACCGCCTCAATCTAGAAATATCGTCTAACTTAACGCTTCGCTTAAGAATCTAAAAACGGGCTTATTCGTTTCGTGTAGATCAAAAATCCTTGCACATTTTAATTCATGCAATCGCTCCACCAACACAGTAGGTAGGGACGGGGAACCGTCGACCGATGTTGGAAACAAAGATTGACTTTTCAGATCGCTTTTAATGGGATGCTCCTCCATGCTGTCCCGCCGCTCTTGAATCGCCTATCAACATTTCACTTTGACACGTCATTCATGTGTCGAAAGACAGTACAATGATTAGCTAATAAGCTCACAGTATCCCCCTTGTGAAACCAATGCAGCTACCAAAAAAATCGTATAAGGAAGCAAACAAATGTCAGCGAAATGTAAAAATGAGAGGAGAGGATAATGTACCAAAAGTATGGTTCCAGAATTCCTCCAATTAATTCCAGAAGGAGAAGAGTGTAGTGGTAAAGTAGATGAATGAGATCAAATGTGGGTAATAGGCTAAGCGCTGCAGAGGTTGAAAATGGCCATCTTTCTAATTTTAATGCCCAAATGAGAGATTCCTATTTACGCAAGCCTTTTCATAGCCATCTAGAAAGGTGATACACAAGGCCACATTCTCAAGATAATATGCCTGAAAGCAATAAATATCCATAGAAGCTTCTAATTTAGTGACAGTACCGTAATGGAATCAACCTGATTCCTCCAACGCACATCTCCGTCACTGATCCACCTCAGCAACCTCGCTGGGTCTAGAGTTCTAGCTTTTTTGGAAGCTATGCTCGGATAAGAGAGAATATGCAGACCACATGGAGCCGATTGCAAGGGCTTTGGTGAAAGCGCCTATTCATAGATAAATCGGTGCCATGTACTCCTCAATGTCGCTTCAGATATCAATAGCATTCCTGCAGAGTTGATACGGCTTCTCCTACTTGCAACGTATCTTTATATCCTCAAGCTAGGCTTTATTTGTTATTATTAAAAATTAAGGTTTTGGCGTTCAGAATCGGACCAGTCTTCTCCAACGTCGAAGGCAGTCAGAATGCCACGCGAAGGACTGAGAACTACTGACACGTCCTGGACAACATGCTGCGCGATAAGAGGTGGAGTAGAAGCCTTCAGTGCTCGTGAAACCAGAAATGAAGCCTTACACAAATAACTCGATCATAAGTAACATTGAACCGACAAATTAAAAGTCTGATAGAAAGCATCTTACCTAAACAAACAATACTGCGTCCTAAGTCTTGGTAATCAACTAGTCCCGAAAGTTGAGGGTGGACAAAAAGACTCTAAAAGTTACCACGTTGCTCATAATTTTGCTTTTAGTAGATGTTTGGAGCCTCCCCGATACCTTAACCTTCCACGTCATCGTGCCAATGCTCTTGATCTAAAAAGCACCAGCCTCCTTCGGACGCTCCTCTTTACTAGCACTGATACAATCATCCGATGAAACGTTTTCCGCTCATGAACTTTCACAGCCGTGCGGCCTTTTCCGCACAATTCGATAGCGGATCGGCAAAAGTAGGTATGTCGATGGTCTTCCACGAGAGATTGTAGAACCATATCACCAATGAAGAGGATTATAAACAAGGCCCTTAAAAGGCACCAATGCACGAAACAGAAAGATGCAAAAACGTTAAAAATATTTTACTTAGAAAGGTCCAGTTGATCACTCAAGGAGATAACCTGTAAATACTCCGAATGGACTCGACATCAACACAGTTGTTAAGCGACAAATGATCACTTCTAAGACCGGAGGATGAAATGGAAGGACCGAAGCATGGTAATTCACCCAATCACATCCATGTCTTGTTCGACGTCACAACAAAGCCTTACGTTCCCACACGGTCCTAATAACAACGCTCTTAGGTGGACAGTCTAGAGTCCTAGCATAGATTTTAGTCATTTACCATGACAATCAAATTGCCAAGGTGACGCACCTTAAGTGTCCACAAAGAGGCATTTCAGTGGAGCAGAAGACATGCCGATAGACGCTCTATGATTGAATTGAAAAAACTACAGGTCGAGAAGGCTGAAAGGAAATTTCGACGCCGCAATCGTAGCGCCTTGAGCTCTAGAGCCTTTATGATAATTCCGCAACCAAAAAAGCAACTCAAAAACTATACTAAATACTAATATAAAACAATCCTGACAGATGAAAGATTAATGTGTCTAGGATGACGATGACGAGGATGGAGGAGATTTAGAAGAATCGTCTTTCCCATTCTCAGTGAGCAGCGACCCGATTCCGCGCCGCTCCAACTCAGCAGCCAGTTTACCAGACCGATGCATGTCGAGGAGAATGTCACAACCTCCAATGAATTCACCGTCAATGAATACCTGTGGGAAGGTTGGCCAATCGGAGAAGAGTTTGGCGGCTTCACGGGTTTCAGAGTCTGAGAGCACGTCGAAAGAGGAGAGAAGAGGTGCACCGGTGGTGGGGTCCTTTTTGCCCAAAACTCCATGTGCCTCGAGTATGCGGCAGACAGCGTTGGAGAAGCCACAACGTGGTTCCACCGGATCGCCCTTCATGAGAACCACCACCCGAGTGCGAGTTGTCAGTTCCGTAAGGCGATCGTGAAGCACCTTGTCCAGTTTCGGAGGACTTGATGTCTCCGATAAAGAACGAGCGCAAATGTATGTTGATAGAGGCGCGAGTACTGGTTGAACTTTCTAAAAGGACAAGTTCTCGCAACCGGTACTCAAGAGTTCTCGTTCAGAAAATCTAATAGATTCCACGACTCAAACGAAGAATTCATTCGAGATGCTTTCAAAGATATATGTAGTTCATGGTTCGTTACTGTCGCCTCGGTTTTTCGAGGCTGAGGACCCAAACAGAAATGTATCGCTGCAAGTAGTGTTGGGTGCTAATGGAAGTGTTTAAAAGGCTTGGAGTTTTGCAAGTACTAGTTCTTCAAGCTGCAGTGTATGAAATACAGTGATCACAAAAACACAAAAGCAGTTGTGTTGACGTCAATGGAAAAATGTCCAAAGAAAGCACTTGCACCGGCAAAAACTTTCAACACCTCTGAAGATACGTTACCCTCAAATTCGTCCCACAACACTCAAAGGAGTGCTAAAAATCAGCACTAACTTTCGTATCTACGACAACAGAAAGAATTGCACCAGCTTGGGTTAAAACACCCACCACTCTTATAAAAAGACTTGAGGCCCTAAAAAACTGCCACCTCTCGGTGGCTGGAATTCAGAGAATATCACTGCCTCAAGGGCGTTTTTCTCTCAAGTCACCGCCCTCATAGAGCGCTAGCACTGGCGCAAACGCACAGCATTTAGTTGAGCTAAAAAGTGAGTTTTCAAAGTGAGCTGTCACGGCAGTGATAAATTTGAAAGGCCATTACCATGAATGCTTAAGCGAAAATAGGTAACGGTAGTAGCACCTAGAGTCGGATGACCCAAAGGAAAAAAAGACAAATCATCGGAGGTCCAGAACGACTTACATACAAATACACGGGTTTAAATCACTATGATTAGATTGGAATGGTCTCAATGCTCAAACGGCACGCACTTTTCTAACTGAATGAGTTAAAACATAGGCAGAGAGAAGGAAAATATGAGATGACAGAGTGGAATTTTGACCCAATAAAGACCATTAAATTGTCATGTCCACAAGCTTTTTACGCTTCAGGACAAGAACCAAATGGAATTAACATTGTGCAATGAGTTTTTGGAATCCGGCACCTCCAGCGATCAACCTTAAATCGCACTGCTAGAATCACAACTGCTTTGAGGATCCACCACAAAATCATTGATTTGAATGCAGGGATATACGGATAATTAAGTGGTCAGCATTAACTCTCAAAGATGGAGTCCATTTGACACCTAAATTGAATCAAAAAGGTCGAAAATCTTCGCATGAAATAATAAAGGTGGAAAACGCACTGCACCCATCGGCTAATTTGAGCCGTAGGCTTCAGACGACAGTAGTTAGGAGACATTCGGTGACCTTTGGACTTCAATTAAAGTCAATGTTGACAAGTTTTGGGGTCAACTCTACCACAACTGGATTCAAAGAAACCATAATAATACCGACAGGAGCTACCGCCAAAAATGGATAGGGATTACTAGAAATAAGGCATTAACAATTACGAAAAAAATCCTAGTATTTAAAAGGAAAGAGGAAATGAGCTTTTCTTTTCGAACACTCAAGTTAGAAATGTTTAGTGAAGGGAGAAATACGGATCCATCTGCCCACATTGTTTAAAATCATAAGGCAAGAAATTGCTTTGTGGCTTCAGCTTCAAAGAGATTTATGTCCAGAAAGGTAGAAGCCAATGAGAGCACGACCTTGAGAAAGCCTTCAGTGCAACCTTATGGATGAGGATTGACCAATCAGAACTATGTATCATTGCGATATGTTTACATAGGTCGGGAGTAAACGGCTTGGAAATCGACATAATAGTCGTGCTGCTATGCGAGGGGAGGAACGTAAACAGTTTGAACTTAGTGGGAATCCCCAGGATTGCAAAATAAGCAATACTGAAACTCCCTTTTCATAATCAGAAGCCGCCCTTGGGTAGACAAATCACCTCGAATCGTTTGGGGAACGAAAGTGAGAAAGGAGCAATGGCTGACGACACGACCTTGTAGGATAATCGCCAGTCTTGTATCAGCAAAGATTGAGGAAAAGACCGGTAGATAAGGCTAAAGAATTATTCTTGTAGTAGTAAAGAACAATAGCATAATGTAAATCATCCCCAAATGATCACCAACGAACAAATAAACGTGCTTACCTTAGAGAACTGAATGGAGAGAATTGATGAGTGAAGGAATGAAGCACTTCTCTGCGTCAACCTCGCCGTAGACGATGGCAGAATTCGGAGTTTCGAGAGGACTCTTAGGGACATCACAGTTCACCTGAAAACCATACCAGAACCAGTAAAAAGCTTGTTTGCCCTTACTACAACAGATAACAAACAAAACAAGCAAATAGGATCACAGGGCAGTGGTTGGTGTACTTCGGGAGAGGATCCAGGTCCCTTGAATTACACACCAATTTATCACACACAAGCATCCATACAAAGAGGAGATCGCCTAGCTAAAGAGCAATAAATCATGTACGATAAATTATGCAAAAAAGGCCAGATGACTAGAACCAGAACTTTCCATATAAAGTGGTGTGGATCTCGTAGGCGTCGTCCTTTGAAGTTTAAACAACTGCTAAGCTGACATGGCTACAAATTCATTGATGAGAAGCACACTTTGTCCACACACCCACACAGAGGGAAATTTGAAACCCGTGGAAGAGAATCTGCAATACAAAACTACGCTGTCGACTCGAAAAAGTACGATGGCGTCTACACCTAAAGTGGGAAAGAGAATGCATTTCCCACACTTTACATGTCTTCTGTTTCCAGTAGCAAAGTAATAAGCCCTCAACGTGAGCAAACAAAGGACTTGCAGAGGACGCAGAGATCGGCAAAGGTGAGACGCCCCCAAGAGCACAGCTCAAATATTTACCTTATGAAATTTGTAAATCAGACAAAAGAACTAGACCTTACTAATGAACGGCAATAGTATGAAACGGCATAAATACTCCAGTGAATGGATACCAGTACGATTTTAATGTTCTCACGTACGAAAAAATTAGGCTAGAAATGGGACCAGTAGGCGAAGCTTATCGAGGTGTTTTGAGGACGGAAACCTAGTTCAAATGTGAGTGATCTAAGCTTAAGGGAAGGGGAGGAGACTGGAGAAGAGCGCCGAATTCGCTGATGGTAGTTGTGGATTTTATAAGGAATCCTTGGTGTTGTGGCAGTGGTAGAGGTGTGGAGGAACGCGGGAGCAGCTGTTTTGACATGCAAAGACCACTTTCGCCCATGGACATGGAAGCCAAGCCCACATAGAGGGAGTCAAAACACTTCTAGCACACACACACACAAAGGCGAAAAACGCGGCGAGAGCGTACACAGACACACCAAGAGAGTAGCGTAAACCAAAAGTACAAAAGAGGAAATCAAATGAAAGGGAGAAAGCGCGGAAGACAAATCACCAATTCCAGGCAATTCGTGGACATATCACACGGTCAACATACTGGACGAAAATTGCTACATGTGTCGGACGCCAATTTAAGGGGTTTAGTCATATGGTTCATACTAGTAGCCACAGAAGGAAAGAATGACTCAGAGCCAAGAGGTTTAAAATAAGGCCGCCTATAAATCAAAGAACACTGGTTGTTTGTACCAGTCAAAGATAGCCTCGTTAACGCATGTGGAAAACAGACACACCCAGAGGACAACTATTTATGTGATAAAAGGAAACTAATATAGAAAAGCATAAAATAAATCACCCAACTGTTGTGTGCGCGTGTGGTTATGCCTCCTCCGCGTGACAGGATGGATAATCCACGAGCATACACACACACACACGCACCTAAAGAGCGTGTGATTTCGTTGATTAAACGACGCAATGCAGCAGATGATGTACAACATGGACGATGAGGGGAGGAGCATGGACAAGACATAGGTACAGCAATAAATAAATGTGTATGTAACTATGTCCTTTATTAGCAATATCAGTATTTTCAAAACCACTCGGTTCGAGATTAAAACGTCCCAAAGTAGCAGTAGAGAAAGCAGAGGGCGAGTGACCCTGTCAGCAATGGTACAAGGGAAATGCCAGGTCACATGGATAGAGAACAAAATGAAGAGAGAGAGATACACGGTGCGAGATGACCTCGATGAATGGATGCGGCACGCAGACACGAGTCAAGCAGTTGATCACGGGAAGTAAAAATAATCATGTTGGAATATATATGACGGAGAGAAGCTGGGTTGTCCGAGTTGCAACACACGATGATTTGGTTGAATGCAACGAGCTAAAAAACAGGGAAAGGCGGCTCTACAAATCTGCTGTAGCATAAAAGCATAATAGGCTTGTGCTAGTCTGTGCCCATGTAAAAGAGGCCAACAACTCGCTGACCTTGCATGCAGACGCGCACCAAGAAACCGCAACTATTATAGGAAATAATAATCGCAAAGTAGCAGACATAGATTGTCAGACACTGTTCAGAAGCCCACCTGTGGCCACGTCCACCGGGAAAGAGCCTAGAAACGAAAACATGCAGGTTGCCAATGGTCGTAGATTCTCAGATTGAAAACTATTGCTAGCATCTCCACTAACTCGGCAGGGACACTCCTAAGAAATACCACTACTCGAGCTAGTAGACTAATCGCGCAGATTTCGTCAAAGAACACACATGGGTGCAAATAGCAGCACGCCTTACCTCCAAAAAGTCATCTTGATAGAAACAGCCAAAATATACGCTCTTCTGTAATGGAGAAAGAAGTTGGAGTCAGAAATCAGTAGTTTAAGAGGCGATAGAGGAAAGCCAAAATGACAGACGATTCCGATTGTTAGTCTTCAAAATCCACAATCTCAATGGGGTACAGTAAAATTGTGCACATAACTGTCAACACAAACTTGTCAAAATATAGCAATAATGGCGAAACGAAACGCGACACGTACCAATTAGCAAAACTCCTTTCCACAACCCACATCAAAAGCTCTCAAAGAATGGAGAGAGGAAAACAGGTTCATTTAAATTGTACATAGACATCATGCTTAACCCAAAATTGCTCCAAATCCTTAAACGTTGCAGAGAAATAGGCGAATGATGAGTTTCCCTAGGATCATGTCCTAAATGAACGAAACAGCTCCAAAAAAACCAGTTGATGACGGTAAGG